TTTGTGTGTGTGTGTGTGTGTGTGTGTGTGTGTGTGTGTTGTCAGAGAAAAATACATGAAAAATAGATCTTTGTTTATGAAAGTGTGTCAACATGAACAATGGGGTCCAAAAGTCTGTTGATTTCACCCTTGTGACTCCACTGAGAGGAATGCTGTGTGTGTGTGTGTGTGTGTGTTAAAAATTGTATATATACCACTAATATAGCACCAGATGGGGAAGATGAGACACACAGAGGAAGACTTTGGCGTTTCTATAGTAACAATTAGTCTCATCACTATTGGAAAAAAACAGTATAAGTGGTAGAAAGGTGATGACAAACAAAAACATTCCCATTAGCCGTGTCCTCTGCTCTCCTCTTAATCGAGCCCATCTCTGAATAAAAACGTTGCGTGTTATCTCTTCTAAAAATGATTCTGAGAACCTGATGTTTCACTTCCTGCAGTATAATGCATAATTCAACTAATATTTATGTCCAACACGATGCACTCTAACCTTAACAAAACAAATTTGTATGCAAGTAATGCAAGATCACTTCTGAATGCAGAATGTCAGTGATTCTCACCAAGGGAAACAGAGGCTGGAAACATGCGTGGTATGTGCTGAAGGTTTTCAAGTGGCCATGAAACCCTTAAAATGTTTTAACAGCATCAGATAATGTTGCTATAGTGCACAGATCATCGCGTCAGCAGGTTTCACAAGTAGCATTTTTGAGTATATACGCTTCAAATCCAGCAAAGAATCAGTGTTTATATCAGTGCATTACAGTAAAATGTTGAGGGTGGAGTAATTTAGGTGAACGGAGTGGTGAATGAAAAAGATAACACAATACACACATCCTTGATCATAGTTTTTTAAGCATTGTATTAATCATACAACTCTGTATTAATCGTAGACTGATTATCTATCTTTCTATCCAGAAATGAAGCCAAAATATCCCAGATACAAATGCCACCATCTTGCACATTTGGAGCCAACTGGAAGTGAACAGGGGACAGAGCGGCAGTAGTGAGGTCTGGTTGATACACAAGCGCATCAATCATGATGCTTCACCCCATTTTTATTAAATCAAATAACTAATTAAAACCAAACTTACCAGAATAAGAACACTTGTACAAACAACAGTGAGATAAGAACTACCTAAAATGAGAGAAAACATCTTTGAAGAAAGGTTGATTTGATGTGTGCGCTGATGTTTTAGTTTCATCCACGCCCCATCCACTAACATAGAGGAGTGAAGTTTTGGACCTATACTGCAGCCAGCCATCAGATGGTGATAGAGACACTTTGGCTTCACTTTTAGGGAGCCGTCATGTGGTCCATCTGTATTTACAGACTATGGAGTTCATTTGTTTAATTATGAATCAATAGCTCCAATAGGTTGCATCACACCAGATAAGGTTATGTATTAAAATCTTAATGCTAAGCTAAAAATCTTCAACGTCTTACAACTAAAGGCTGCTTACGAAAAAGAAAAAAAACCCCTCAGAAATGCAGAGAAAAAAACCTGCCATTTTTGTCATTGTTTAAATACTTGTTTGCCATTTGCTGCTTGTGCTGAAATAACATAAGATAGTGGACTAAAGTGTCCTTCAAGGTGGTTCCCCCTGACTGTATGTGTGTCAGGTCATGGTCACGGTGAACAGCAAACACACATGTCGCTGACAAGCATCATGGTGATTGTCTAGAAAAGAAAACTAGATGCCGAATATTCAAAAGAAGTGGACAAATTATTGTGTGTGGGTTTTTTTTCTGTTGGAGTAAAAGTTTAAAGGGACATGCTCACAGTGAGTAAACATCAAAACTCTTTAGAGCTGGAAACATGCAGCTAAACTGGATGAATTGTGATGACAAATGTTCTTGGATAAAGTAAAGTTTGGGTTCCCAGCCAGGCTCCATCGAGAAGGAGTACTTGCTAAGGAGTCCATCGTTGCTGCTGCGGAGCTACTATGACCAGACAAAGTAAAACTGTGCACTGTGTGCAAACACTGCTTTTTCTTACTCTGCAAGAACAAACGCCTGCTGTGACATTTAAAAATGCTGCTGAGTTTTTGCAAAACTCCTCAGGCATTTGCATGAGATGTTTGAGAAAACGGGAAGCAAACAAGGAGAAGCTGAAAAGTTGTTAAATGTGGAATCAGCTGATGTGTCTGAAAACCTGCAACATGACTTCATTGAGCTGTAAAACAAAGACAAGCTCAAAGCTAAACTGTATGAATGACCTGAGGATTTTACTGTTATGTGGAGCCAATTGCTGTCTGCGGTTCTTTACAAAACTGACTGTCGCACCTCTAAGATGCCAAACTATTCCTTTAAAGTTCTCCACTAATGAGGTGAACGAAAAAAAACAATCCTTCTTTTACAGCCACACTATAAAGAACAGGAATTGGTGTGTTTGCATGTGCGTGCGTACTTTTCGTATATCCTCTGGCCCCTCATGAAGACCTTGGCTTCACTGTCCAACGGGAAAGTTCCATCGTCCTTGCGGAAGCGGTAAAACAACTTCAAGTCTTTGAACTCCCGGTGCTCGTCACACACTAAAAAAAACACACACATAGAAATCAAAGAGGTCTTTACTTGTGTTAGATAAAGTCTCATCACCTGCAGGAATAGACGTCATGGCAGCACGGTTCCAGTGGTAAAAATTCCGTTCATTTTCTGAAGAGATTTAAATGATCAGATTTACCACAAGCAAAGAAATTGTGAACTATGTTTTATGATCCTGTAGAAGCCACAAGTCTTTATGATATCAAATGCAATCTAAGAAAACTTTTTTTATTCTCAATGTCAAGGAAAAGTACTACACTACCCACAATCCTCAGGTGTAATAATGACGTCTCTAATTGGTGGAGCTCCCTGTAACCATGGAAATCTTTCTAACATACTGCAAGAAGATGTTCGCTCAAAGCTGTAGGAAATTGATAATTTACAATGGTTTGTGGGATGCGTCGTTTCTTAACTCATTTACTTCTGGAGCCAGAGCCATTCTAAAAGTGGGCGGTCTCTGTTGTGCTCCGTAGAGACAAATTACTAAAACAGAGCAGGAACGTTTGTTACCAGCTGTTTAACATGAACCTGAAACTCTGATGCAGGCAAATATTTATATAAAGACAAAACATCATCACTACAAACATGGAGAAACTCCAAAAGTATACAAACCTGTTTCATGTCAAACTCAAGGTGCACATTTACTTGACGGCTAAATCCATCGATCTTTATCTAATTTAACTGTCAGCTACAGGGCTTATTCTAATTCAGTCAGTATGTGCTCGGGTTAATTTATGATGGTGGAATATTGAACAAGCTAAAGCCTCTTGAGAATTTTGATTATGTTTTAATAAAGCACTGATTAAAACCCAAACAGAAAAAAATCATTAACAGTTGCTCTGTTTAAAGATCAACTAGAGAGAACGTCAGCCGGCTCCCTCTGTCTCTGTCTTCACAGTCTGATCAAATCTGGAGCAGGTAGTGAGACGCTGCGTCAGAGCCAAATTGGCTGAGAGACAGAATCATCCATTAAGAGGCACGCCCAGAAAACGAACCTCTACCACACATATTGCATCGTCATTTTTGTTTACTGGTAAGAAAAAACATTTTTCATAATAAACAATCCAGAAAATATGTGCATTTGTTTTTTACATTTAATTTGGTTTTTTTTTATTCAGGTTGTATATATTTAGTTGTATTTGGGTTTTCTTAATTATATGTTAACCTAAGAGAGAAAGAGACAGACAAAAGCTCAGTCTTACCATGGTGAATGATGCTCTGGTCTAAAAGTTTCTGCATGATCTTGATGGCCGTGTCTCGATCTGTGGCCTCCTTGTGCTCCATCAGCCAGTCGATGAGCTCCTTGGCCACAAAGCAGTTTGGGTAAGTTCGCAGGTGGTGCCGCCGATCCTTGATCACCTTCGCCTCGTGGAGCCGCAGCCTGGAGGTCGGTAAACAAGACGAAGAGGAGAGAAAAAAAGATTCTTGAGCATCCTGCGACACAATTAATAAAAACTAGACAATTGGTTTGGTTTGACACCGTAAGGCAGGGCTACTACTGACACATATGAGAATCTCAACACATTACGTAGTGAATGGGTAGCATGAGTAAACAACTTTAAAAAAAGACACATTTACATAATCACTGTGATTACGAGAAATTTGCAACAAATAGGTTTGAAAGTCCTTTTTGAACAACCTTTCAGGCTCCTGAACAGCTGCAATTTCACAGAAACATTATGCTTTCACTATGCTACATGCTAAATGCATTACTGCTAGCATTATTCAAAACTTTACTTATAGTCACCAAACCCAAAGAGACGATTACAACCAAAGAAGAAATCATTCTTAAAAAACGGGTCACAAATAAACAGTTTTATTATTGAAAATGGCCAAATATTCCCTAAAACCGCTGGGTGCTGTAGTTTTTGGCAAAAGTCCCTGGAGCAGTTACAGTGCACTTGTTGGGGTTTATTTCTAGTTTTGGATTAATACACATTTAAGTGAGTATACGTGCAGTGGTATGGTGCATAGACTGCAAATAAACTGCAGTATGTGTGTGTACATTGTGATGAGGGATGTCACATGTCTCCCATAGTGACAGTGTGTGCAGGCATTAATGTGTTTAATGGTTTTTGGACAACAACAAATATAGATTGCCCATTTGCAGGATTATTTTGACAATAACAACAATGTAGAATATTGTCAACCATCTCCTACAGTATTAGTTTTGTTTGTTTCAGTGTAATCCAAAAACAAAACATACACTTATACCCATCACATTAACATAGGTGCTGGGAGCCCATCAGTAAAGTAGTGCATAATCTGCATGTGCCTGCATGTGCTGATCTAACCTGTTCAATAATGTTGTTAAGAATTACTATTGTGATGCCACTTCTTAAAATGAATTATATTTTCAGCATGACTCAAGAACCCAAGACCAAATTTCTATAGATCTTGATGACATTATAAAATAACTTTGTCGAAAAAGTTAATCTTTTAAATTCTGTTTTTGCAATTCAACCTTAACTGATTTAGGCATAATGTTTTATTTGGGAAAGCATAGTGCTGGGAAAGAGCTTTACAATCATATGAGATCCATGTCCTTGTGACTTCTATGAATGGAGATAAGACAAAGAAAAAAAACATTGTTAGCCCATGTCTCTCTTAATTAGGGTGCCACACATTCGATATTTGGGCTCCATAGGTCTCTCATATGATCAAACCACCATTCCAGCTTTGACGCATCAGGCAGATAAAACAGGAAGGCCAACTCCTCAACTGGCAATGGAACAGGAGTTATATGTCACCTTTTAAAATAGGTGGCAGCTCTCATTTCTGTAACCTGCATCATATTAGTCTGTATGATAAACGATATCCTTGTAGTAGAAAACTTGATCTGAACAGACATCTGAGGTTAGACAGAGTAAATCTGTCCTCTAGGCTCTGGGTGAAATTCATGGTATTAAAGCACTGTCTCCAGGAATTTATAATGATACTATATAACGATGACCTGAAAAACCTCTCATACTTCTATTTGTGTCCTAGATGCTAGTTTCACATCATAAGGGTGACCTCTCCCTGAACCTGAGGAATTGTGAAACAGCCCACCATACTCTTCGCCATGCTTCCTGCAGCTCGCTGGTCCCACTCCATGCTGCGTCTGTGTGCAGCTGGCAAGGATCACTTTGGATTAGCGATGACAGGCAGGCCCAGTAAGACCCGTGCGCTGTTCTACCAAGACTGGAAATGGTCAAACAACCACATCTGCACAGGTTTACAGACTTCAAACCAGGTCTGGTCTCATCCTCTGTGCGTATAAGGCTTCAGAGGATTTCAGTCCTAATCGAACCTTAAATCGTTTCAAATGGAGCTGAAAGCAAAACCATCAATCTTGTTGTTTCCTCATAAGAGGCTTAGTTGTGAGACCCGTGGTCGACGTTCAATGCTAAAAAGAATGTGCATAAAACATGTTTACTGTCTTCATCAGCATTGGCATCGAAAATCCATAATGATCAGACTCTGTATTAACAATTCTTCAACTGGATCAAACAAAGCCAGATGAGATAATTTCTGAATGAGTCTCTTGCAGCCTGAAGAAATTCATGATGCCTCACTCTCTGTCACAGTGAGACGTGGTGCAACAAACTGTCTATTCACAACACACTGGTCACAAGACTTATTGCAGCAGCTGCACAAGTCTGTGTATCACGATCGCTGACTTCTCCAGCCCTGTGCCTGAAACAGACATGCTCTGATATCAGCCTGATGGAGCTGAAATAGGTGATAAGATTTATTTCTTTATTTATGTACTGTTATCAGTACCAGGAACTGTGTCAGTCATGTTCCATGAGCTGGACTCGTGATAGAACGATCAAACAAAGGTGTGGATTAGATACACTTGTTTTCACATTGCTTGTATTTCATATCAACCCTAATTCGGTTATCATGAATAGTGCTGTTCACAGAATTAAATCCACTGTGACTTCCTCACTCCCACATTTAATATTATTATCTGGAACAATAAATTCATGACAAAGCCAAAGCACAAAGCTAAATCAGGGAAGGTAAACGGTAAACCACTGAGGGAGAGCATCAATCATTAAACTGCCCTGTGTTTGTGTGTGTGCACACTGTACAAAGACTAAAGCCTTGTCCCCACATTCACCTACATGGGTATTTCAAAGTGGGATTCTGCTCATTGAAAATGTCTTTAACAAAACTCCTTCCAGGGTAGGGAGGTTCAGTGAGGGTCAACAGCCGTGCGAGATGATCTGTGAGACTCCACTGAAGTGTGTTGGTGCTTTGAGCTGTATGCTAATATTGCTGATACTAAGTACATTTACCATTTAGCTTGTTCCCTTTTCTTATAGAGCATGCTCACATTTGATAATAGCAATAAAACCAAGGAACAGCTGAGGCTGTTGGGAACGCCATTAAACCGGCAGGTATTTGGTCAATAAATAAAGTCTGAGATAAACTAAATTGAGCTCAATGGAATTTAAGGGATCTTCAAATATCAACAGGCTTAATCGTCTGGGGATCATGACTAACTGCACCAATCTTCATTGCAATCAATTATTGTTTATATTTTTCAGTCTAGACCCAAGTTTCCGGCCAACCGACAGAACAACTGCTGCTATCGAGGTTAACGAAGCTATGGCGCTGACTGCTGTGTCTCCAGAAGAGGAAGACGGACAGAGACCGAGTCTTGTATGTCACAATCTTGAGTCCCTTCCCCCAGAAAAGCAGATCTCAGGGACTACCACCCCAACTAACCCCACGTTCACTGACACCAGCCATACTGCCAGCTGGCAGTCTCATTTATACAGCTGTGCCAGGGAAACTGACACACACACACACACACACACACACACACACACACACACACACACACACACACACACACACACGCACAGTACACAGTGACAAATAAGGAAACGCACATCAGGCTAGGCCACAGTGCCCTGAAGAATATGTCCAGACACAAACAATGTTTTCTCTAGGTGATGACTTTAGTGTTGCTTTTATGGTTCTCTGGAGCAGGTCGGTGTTACAGTGTGTAATTCAAAACAACTCCAACTTTATCACAACCAGCTGCAAAACACAAATCTGTGTTTTCCTCAGAGTTCAGTGGGGGAGCTGAAATTCCAGGCATTGGTGCCATGCTTTGGCTACTGAGCCTCTATTCATGAGCCAGTCAACACCACCGGGCTACAGGCAACAACACTTTGTTGGGATTGCAGTAAATTTTCCAAACAGATGAACAGGCAGGACATCCAATGACATATGGTTTGATGGTTCATAGTTCCCTGTGCAGCTCAATAAGACAATGTATTACTGGAGCAGCATCAATCAATCATGTGTTCGGTCCTCAACACCGAGGACCCTGCAGAATCGACAGTACCTCAGGCTTAAATGTGTGTTGAAGGGGTGAAGCTATAGTGAGGTTTGAGCTGTGCATGCTGCAGTGGGGCTGAAGCTGTGGTTTACAACGAAAGAGCTTCATGCCTGATCACTGACCCGCTGCAAACATGATTACAACACCCACTTTTCTCATTGACTGTGGCATGTACTGTCATGTTCTCAATCATCCTGATCTGGGCCAGATAAACATGCATGAGTTGGCCAGCAAATGTAATTATTAGTAATAATATCACTTTACTAACTGTGCGAGGTGGCTGCACATGTGTCTCAGTTTGAAGTGTTTGACATGAAGACACCAGCTTGTCCCAAGCAATGTGTGAGCTGCAGAACCACCCAAGGTCAGCGGGAGGGGTCCAGGAGGACTAACCGACCTACCTCAGCTGTTCTCCGGTGACGAGCACCTCGGCCAGCCGCTCCAGCTCTGCAGCCTTCTTCTGCATGGTGTTCCCGATCCCGTCCATGTTTCTGCTAACACAGGAGCCACAGATCAGGAGTGCGTTAGTCACCGAACGTCCCCACACAAAGACATCATCATCAATCTGCCATGACACACTGCTCCACTCTAACATGGGACCGAGTTAAAGGGCTGAGCAGCAGCGGAGTGGTTTTTCTATCAAAGCTGATAAACACACAGAGGGACAACAAAGGCACGCGCGCGTCCATGATGCATGTGGTGATTTCAGGGAATAAACAACGCACGGACATGTTTCTTCTTACCCTTCGAGCACCATGGAGAGCGAGAGATGTGACTTTATCCCTGAATCCTTTGACGAAAGAGGAGGGGGTGTATTCCTTCACGCAACAAAGCGGACAGTCAGTGTTCCAGCAGCTCCATCTGCAGCACAGCACTTCCAATTCCTCGAAAACCTCCAACAGGGCCAAACATCTGCAAATGCACGCACACACGTTCACGCATGCTTGCACGTCCCTTCCTGGAACCGTCTGCCTGTTTGTTTGTTTGTGTGTTTGTAGCAGTGTGTGAAGAGCTCGGGCTGCACTACGCATCCACGCAGCCACTCCACGGTTTGTGAGACACTAACACAACACACGGGACGAGTGCACGTTTCCCTCCACGGCGCAGCCACGGCCCATCCACACGGCCACCGCATTGGGAGGACTCGTCTGACGTCACAGGGGGGTGTTAACGCTGGGCGGGGCTACAGAGGCGTGCGTGTGTGCTCAATTCTTACACCGTCGGGTGGTGGGAAGAATTGCAGGGACGGGTGGGATGTGTAATCTTGCCCTTTATAACGTAGCTGACAATGTAAAGCAGACCATGCAGCTGTCAAGTAAAAGTTTATTTATACATCACGTTAAAAAAAAAACAGTTGAATAAATCCATCAATCAAACTTTATTTATAAAGCACCTTTTAAAAACATCAATGGCAGTGCAAAGTGTAACTGACAAAATCTTTAAAAATTGCAATAGATTACAAAGTAAATGATATCAAAACAGTAAAAAGTTATATAATCAATAATAATAAGAATGACATTATTAAATACCAACTAACTAGTATAGTTAAAACATAAATTTGAATATAAAAATAATAATACATTATAATTAATAGAACAAATGTCATTTCTAACTCATCAATAAATAAAATGCATGAAAGTCAGACTTAAAAGATTCGTTTTTAGTTTCTATATTTCATATTTCACATTTTAATCAAATTAGTCAAGTTAAGTTAAGATAGGATAAGTTAAGCTCAGATAAGATAAGATAGAATATATACAGTGTAGTGGATTGCACATGAGCCAAAATGTATGAAATGTCATTCTGGGACATTCACTAAAACCTGTACTCGCAAAAATCATTTGTTGGTCTAGTTTAAGAGCAGACAAGAACAACCTAATGCAGAATTTAATACTCGAGATCAATTTGAACACAAGGTCCCATTTTAATCTGTACCATTTAATGAAGTCATTTATAGCTTTAACAATTTACTACACAACATTTGCAGCATGGGAAAGTTTCCATATTTGAAGTGACATAAAACCAACGCCTCCTGCCAGGCTCGATGAAGTCATCTGGGTTGTCATTGGCTGCTCTGCTAAATGTGTTTGTGTGTATGCATCTTTATATACAGTCTATGGTATGCATCCTGCAGAGTGGGTCTTCTGTGAAAGTGATCAATTGATAACTCCAACTTGGCCATATCACCATCACGTGACTGTTTCCACGTTTTAGTACAAAATCCAATGAAGGACGCAACACATGGGCTAGTGGCGCAATGGATAACGCGTCTGACTACGGATCAGAAGATTCTAGGTTCGACTCCTGGCTAGCTCGTGTCTTTTCTTTCTTTCGTTTAATGAAGGAGACATTTTTTTATGCTGGTGTCTGGACAGTTTGTAGTAAACATGTATGTCACAGTCATTAAGCTATCTGTTTGTAAATGTAACAACATTCTGTGTACGATGATAATTGACTGTGATATAAGAAGCTACACGCCTATCACTGGGGTTTAGCAGTAGCTTCCCATTTAGCAAACAGAAATAATAATCACATGTCAAAACTTCTAGACGATAAAATGAAAACCTACGCGTCCTCTCCTCTTTATAATAATGTAAAGGAATCTTATTTACAGTCCATGTGTCCCCGGAGCTGTAGTCTTCAAGGAGGTGGCGACCTCTGTTGGTGCTTTTAGGCAACAACATCTGGGAAGGACAAGGCAGGCCACTTCCTCTTCTAATTATTTAAAGTAGTTATTCTATATGGAGGCCGACAA